GACACACGGGGCTGACAGGTGTAAACAAATCCAGGCGGAGTGGTCAGGTTGAGATCGGCGAAATCATTACTCTGAGCTGATGCTGACCTTGTTCTGATCTTTGTGAGCAGAAAGAGGACGAGCACACCGGGATCCAAAGGTGCACTTACCAAGTGTGCTGAGCTGATTGGAAATCCAAACCTCTCTTATTCATCATATTGATTAAACTTGATTAAACTTGATTATACGTTGATCAGAAGCTGTAACATGTGTATGTACACAATATCTACATATGAAAACATTTTCATTACTCAAACTGCATTTCTCATTTAACATGTTAATCATACCTGCAGCTTCATTTATATCTCTAATTAAAAATATATATTCACTATTAGCAAAAGCACATACAGAGAAGCTCTGTTCTAGCACTCTGTATCATTGTAAAGATAAAAGGCTGGACGTTAAGACGTTTTACCGTCTCTCAGATGTAATGAGAGGAAATCGCACCTTTCTCATCAGAGTAAAACTTGAAGAACACTTGACTGTTGCTGCTGATTGGAGCTTTCTGAACTGTTGTGTAAGACTCACTGTGAATAAACGCATTGTCGTTCACATGACGCCATGCGTTGGGTCTCTTTGACATCCAGATGAACACACGAAGGTTACACTATGAATATAGAAGTTTTATAAAGGTTTGCAATTGCATGAGCGACACAGATTGAACCACTGAAAACACATCTGTGCATGGAAACAGGAACAGGCAGTGATACAATACCACTGTGATCTAAAAGCAAGCCACCACCAGGAACGGTAACCTGTCAATCAAATGCAGCTGCGAGACAAATATTGTGATACACAAATTAAGTCTTAGTAGGAATAAAATAAAACATGTTTATTATGTAAATCTTGTTACGGGGAACAACAAACAGATAAAGCAGTTGCATACAAAGTTATTTATTACGTATTATTGACCAGAATGGGTAAAAGCCAAGGAAAAGCCCGGGTTGTGGCTGAGCTAATGGCTGAGAGCTGGACGAGGGGGAGGATGAACTGGCTGGGGGCTTTGATGGGACAGTCTTAGCTTACTAAATATGTCACTATTTTATTACAAAAAGAAGAAAAGGGAGAGAGGACAGAGTCATGCTGCCACCTTTAAAGTCTACACAACAACTTGAAAACTAAACCACCCTGCTGCACTCTTTACCTTCCCTCACCAGCTTTTAAAAATCATGGCTACCCAATCGGTTAGGTCATGGTGGTCAATAAGACTAGAAAATGCTACACAGAGGCGAGTCCACTGAAGGATTACTCCAAGAGCGCTGAACAAGTATTCATAGGAATGATGTGACGTAGTGTGATGTGTGGGCCCGGTGTGTCAGGTGAGCAGCATCTGAGACAGAATGAGACGTCAGATCATAAAAGGTTTGGTTTTATGGGGTTGCTTTCATTCAGTTCTCCAACTTTGACTCACTGTGTCGCTGAGCCTGCAGCTCTCAGAGCTTTCTTCTTGTTCTTTCATCCAAATATGACTTAAGTGCTTGTTCATAGTGAATCTGCATAACTGATGGTTTATAAATACAATTAGATTGTTTTTAAAAGAATAATTGAGCAACATTATTTGTTGTTTGGTTATGCATTTCTCTTGCAGTCATGTCAGAGGCGAGCATGAGCCAGTTTGTCTATATGGTCACAAGATTTTGAGGATGTTGAGCTAAAAAACTATGTTTTGTAACACAACAGTGTTAAAGTAGATTCTTAGTAAAGTGCAGTTACCATTGACTCCAATGTTATTTTGGCTGGTATAAAATATGTTGTGGTGCTGCTGAACTGTAATGTAGCTGACAGCTGCTTCACTGTCCTCAGTGTGATAAATCAGTGTCTATGTCCAGATCTGAAGGGTTTACAGAGTTGATGGACCCTTAGCCACCCGACACAGGCTGAACGAGTTAAAAACAGATACACAGATGTACTCAGAGTCTCAAGGGAGGAACTATTCCCAAAGGAGGATCCACTGCACTGTGATTGGGATTCGCTGAATTATTAATTGAATTAACTGAGATCATTGTATAGAGAGACACAGGCTTCAGATATTTGTCATTCATGTGATTCAGTCGACGTTTATGCTTTGCTGAGACTGTAATATTTCCAATATTGCACAGAACGCCCGTCTCACATCTAGCAGAGCTGCTTTTAGCAGTGAGGTTTTTTCCTCTATATTACATTTGGTTGGCACTGTATCAGATTTACAGACTGACTAATACAATAGCCTTTTGATGCTACATTACTCTTACAAGTGACAAGCCAAGCCATCAGCTCATAGGCAGGCAACCCACACGGAGGAGAGCACATTTATCTCTCCCTCAGCTGATCTTTGCCTGTGACTGAAAAATGTGTCGCATTTGCATATGTTCAGCTCAGTATGATCCATTATTAAACCTCAGGTGAAACGACCTGGCTTTAATAAGTGATAAACCCCAACGCTTGTCATTTAAATTCATCATGTGAAGAAAAAAGACGTCAAACTCAGATATCAAAATGTCACTCAGCTTCACTGTTTGTCTTTTAATAAAGCTCTTACACACATATGAAAACACACATATATGCAGCAGCTGCTCGTTGTGTTGTACAGTGTGCCACTGCCATCTAGTGACAGAGTCAAAGCTCACTGGTTTGTTTTTGTGTCAGGTCTGAATTAAATGACACGTGTACAGAGCTACACACACATACCATCACAGAGAAAGCAAACAGAAGTGCCCTTGATAGAGTGTAAGAAGGATATGAAGCTAACAACCTCCAGTCTTGATTCAGGAATCAGCGATCATGTGGTCCTGAGATTAAAGGAAGAGGATCAGTTGCAAAGGTCGGTGCTGCAGCATTGGGCGATCGCACCAGGTGTTGTGACGTAGCTCTGACACAACGCCATGTTCATGCACTGACGGAACGAAGCGCCTAGAATAATGAAACAGAGTGTACGCTTAGTGAGCGTGTGAACATACTTACTGAGCAGGCATAACTTCACACATGATTTAAATGGACTGTATTTATATAGCGCTTTACTAGTCCCTAAGGACCCCAAAGCGCTTTACATATCCAGTCATCCACCCATTCACGCACACATTCACACACTGGTGATGGCAGCTACGTTGTAGCCACAGCCACCCTGGGGCGCACTGACAGAGGCGAGGCTGCCGGACAATGGCGCCACCGGGCCCTCTGACCACCACCAGTAGGCAACGGGTGAAGCGTCTTGCCCAAGGACACAACGACCGAGACTGTCGGAGCCGGGGCTCGAAACGGCAACCTTCCGATTACAAAGCGAACTCCCAACTCTTGAGCCACGATCGCCCCGTTTTAGAGATTCATTCAATCTGTCTCAACACATTTCTTTTTTTGCTATCATTCCTTACCTTTAGTAGTATTTAAAACCCTCAAATACACATACAGCTGGGTGATCCTGGGTCTGTGCTGCAGATTTGGGTTCATTATGGTTTTGTGTTGTGCATTTAGCAGGTTTTCATATTCTAATTTCCTAATGCATCTGAGTCATTAGATCATTTGTTATTTCAAGTTCCTGGTTTTTGTTGTGTTACATTTAGTTTCTGGTCTGTATCTTGTCATCACCGCCTCTTGTAGTAATCCTTTGATTCCCTGCTCATATTCCTGTCTGTCTGGTTTCCCTGTGTCTAGTTCACATATCTCAGTCTAGGTCTCAATGTTTTATTTTGATACACCAGCCTCATGCGTATGATGTTCAGTTTTGCTTTCCTTGTCTCATGTGTTCCCACGTTGCTGCAGATCTGCTCGTCTTTGCCACCATGGCCAGTCCACACCTCACCTGTCTCTTTGCTGGCAGAAAGAGGAACCTGCCCCCGCTGCACCCTCAGTTTCCTTTGGTTCCCTCATCAAGGAGGAACCGGCACTCCCAACACCGTCAGAGCCTACAGCTCCACCTGGGTTTGACCTCAGAGCAGCCAAACGCTCCTCCGGGTGAATTAGAAGAACCTTTTCTCTTGTGCTTTCTCCGAGCCAGAGAAAATTAAAACAGGGGCTTTAAATTTGACTGAGTTGTTTGTTCCTGAGTCTGTAGGTTTGTCTGTTTTAATGAATCATGTGATGTTCAGCGAGCAGGAGCTGAGTCTGTATTTTGTGCTTTCAGTGTCGACCAAAGCAGAAGTTTCTTGTTTGTTTCTGAGACTTTTGTTCCAAGCTTTTACAGTTTGAGGTCTGACCTCAGTGTGGCTAAGATGGCACAATCAAAGAAGTGAAAAAGTGTTTTCAACCTCAAAGCCAGCAAAAAGTAAGACTGAGATTTTTGTTCCTGAGACTGTCGACATGGACAAAGTGCGTTCCAGAACCAGCTGAAAATAAAGGAGCAGATTTCTGTGCAATTAACGAAGCACTGTGTGTTTCTGAGACAACTATAAACAACATACTGCTCCTGAGCTGGTCGATAATGACAGATGCCAGCCTCTTATTGCTTTTCCCAGCCGGCCAGTATTGATAAGTGTGTTTTCTGCTTCTGAATCCTCGGCACTGCTAAGTGCAGTTTGCTTTGCGTCTGAGTCGACAATCTGAGGACTTTGAACTTAAACACAGATAAACCAAGCTGGTTTTCTCTAACACTGTCAGCATTTCTGAGCTCGATGATTCAGGGATGCTTGGTTATACTTGGTTATTCCTCTGTTATGATTCAGTGATATAGATATTTGTGTTTCTTTGTCACACCAGACACACCATAGTTTGTGTCCTGTGTTATTGCTGCTATGTGAGTCCCAGGTGGAGGCTGACCATTGGTGGAGGACTGGCAGAGGCCGGCTATAAATGAGGACCCTTCTCAACCGGCACGCTCCGCCTACTTCCTGTTCCCAACGAACTGTGCATGTGGCTGCGTGTGGATCTGTATTCTGGAAGCTTTTGCTGTGTTGTAAGTAGTTTGTTGTAAATAGATGGTAGCTGTTTTGGTTGGTCTTCCTTGACAGCAGGGAGTGTGGGGGCATTTTCCTCTTTTTATTGTCCTTGTGTTGCACGCCGGTTTCCCCTGGGATGGGGTGTAACACCTCTGACTGATGTTTGTTTTCCAAAGCTGGCAGCCGTGAGTCAGCTATGAGCCCTGCACAGCCCCAGTCGTTGAGCATCCTCCCAATCTGCAGGCCACGCTGCCACCTGTGAACTCCACACAGCTGCCACCGGCTTCCATATTGCCTTCAGCATCTGGGACAGAGCCTGGACTGGCTTCCCCAGCGCCAGTGTGTGCGCCCAAGCCGGGGGTCCCCGCATCGCCTTCACCCAAGTCTGATCCTGCCCCGTCTGGTCTTTAGGCAGCCTGGAGATAAACTATCTGCGCCTCCAGCCTCCCAGCCGGGCTTCCACAGCTTCCCTGTTTCTAGTCTCAGCTCCCCAACATTGGACACTTTTAAAACCCGTTTGAAACCCTACTTTTATTCCTTGGCTTTTAAATCAGAATGAGTTCATTGCTTTTATTTATCTTATTTCTCACTCAAATCTTCTAATTTTCTGATTCTTTTATAAGCTCTTATCATATCCCTATGTTTTTTTTCTTTAAATTATCTTAATTGTACAGCACCTTGGTCAACGGTTGTTGTTTTAAATGTGCTATATAAATAAATTGGACTTTGACTAGATTAAACATCTAAGTCTACGTCTAGTTTGTCACCTTACAGTAAAGGTTGTTCCCAGTCACTTTAAGTTGCTCCGAGTGATCAGTATTATGGTGACAATCTTCTATTCTGGGAGGGATCTTTTTTTAATTGACTTTTTTTATTTCTTGTATGATCATTTTTCATAATTAAACAATAAGAACAAGAAGTCTGATGTCTTGTATTTATTATGTATGTATAGTTTGAAATACACTACTTTGTATTTAAATTTCAAACACATTTCGTTTTTGTACAAAGTCTCGATATCGGATCAGTATCGCTGATACCAGCCTGAAGTTTACAGCTATGGAAAGGGAATCCGTGGCATCGCTATTGGAAAGGAAACTTCTTCAAGCTGGCAAAAATATTGTGATGCTACCATAGGGTACTTACTGACGCTTTGAAATATAACATCAGCACAGGCATTTTGTCCTGCCGGACAGGTCTGGATGCTTGTAGGAGTACAGAGGTCACTCTGCCATGAGAAACAAAAGTTACACCTCAGTGCCTCTCCTGGAAACCACACACACACACACACA